TTTTCCTCCCCCCCTACCAATATGATTAGTGACTCCTTTCTTCACCCACGGTAAAAAACAAAAGCAAACAAAAAAACAAATTTAAGACCTTAAGAGTCAAATCAATGAGATTTCACTGAACTTAATTTTTTTAAAACATTATGAGATCAGGGGCACCTGGGTGGCTGAGTGGGCTAAGTCTCTGCCTTTGACTCAAGTCATGATCTCAGGGTCCCAGGATTGAGCCCTACATTGGGCTCTCTGCTCAGCAGGGAGCCTGCTTCCCCCTCTTCCTCTACCTGCCTCTCTGCCTACTTGTGATCTCTCTGTCAAATAAATAAAACCTAAAAATAAATAAATAAATAAATTTTTTAAAAAGGTGTCTGGGGGGCACCTGGGTGGCTCAGTGGGTTAGGCCTCTGCCTTCAGCTCAGGTCATGATTCCGGGGTCCTGGGATCGAGCCCCGCGTCCGGCTCTCTGCTCAGCGGGGAGCCTGCTTCCCTCTCTCTCTCTGCCTGCCTCTCCGCCTACTTGTGATCTCTGTCTGTCAAATAAATAAATAAAATCCTTAAAAATAAATAAATAAATAAAAAGGTGGCTGGACCATTTGAAAAGAAAAAAATTATGAGATTATATGAAGCCATTCTCCTTTCATGCACACTACCATTAAGATAACTTCTTTTTGGGATGCCTAGATGGCTCAGTCGGTTGGGCCGCTGCCTTTGGCCTGGGTCATGATCCCAAGGTGCTGGGATCAGAGTCCCTCATCAGGCTCCCCAGGGAGCCTGCTTTTCTCTCTGCCTCTGCCTGCCATTCTGCCTGCTTGTGCGTGCGCTCTCTCTCTCTCTCTCTCTCTCTCTCTCTCTGATAAATAAATAAATAAATGAAATCTTAAAAAAAAAAAAAAAAAAAAAAAGATAACTTCTTTCCCCCGACTTGATTCAATGCTAAAACAAAGGGCAGGTACTTACAGCAACTATTTTGTCATTCACTTGAATTTGGCCATTGTGGTAAGCAGCACTGCCAGGTATTATACTTTTCACATAAATCCCAGAAGCCTCCCCTGAGATGCACAAAAACATATGGAAAAAGGAAGAAAGCTCTAATTAGACCTTGATTGCCAAATTCATATCAAGAGGTTAATTAGCTACAGGGGCTGATGCGAGGCTTGATAAACACTATTTTGAACACAAGCGGAGAAATTGATGGATTATTTCAAACTGTCACCATCACAAATGACCCGAATTTGAAATGATGTGACTGATGACTATTTCTGGAAAAATAATCAGTAATGGAAGCTTGATGAAATGCACTCTACTGTAAGCTGGAATTCAGGGAGCCCAGGCAGTCTCATCCTCTTGGGCTGTCCCCTTTCTTTCTGCTGCCTTGGAGACTTATCACTTTTCACCAGCACTAAGAAAAGAGTCTCCTACCTGGTCTTCCCTTCTTCCCTGCCTACATTTAGTTTGCTGCTCATGTTAGCTTCCCAGACTTTCCCAGAAAAGTACACACAGTGTTTAAAAAAGAAAAGAAAGAAAGAATTTCAGCAACATTAAATAATCTTCACATTATAAAATATTTAAATACAAACAAATGGCTAAATAAAAATTACAACGATATAAAAAGTATACAGGCCTACGGGCAAAGACTAGAAGAGAAACTGGAAAATGAAAAACCGTAACTCTGGATGATTTTATTGTTTTATTCTTTATTTCAAATGAACTTATAATACTGTCCACAGAAGAAAACTAAACATCAATGAATTCCTATTGCCTACATAATAAAATGTAAATTTCACAGAATCATATTCAAGGACCTCCATAATCTGTGGAAAACTTAACTTATCTTCCACTTGCCACCCCTCCAAGGCAAAAGTTCACAGACACAAGACTCTCAATATTTTACCAAAACATTGAGTATTGTCATGATGTTATCCCTTTTCTTAATTCATTTTTTCTTCCTATGAAACTCATCCTTTCTACCAAAATCCTTTTTCATGCCTAGCACAAATGCTTCTTTGTGAATTCTTTATTTCTTTCTGTCAAATTTAATCTTTCACCTGCCATATGATGATAGTTCACTTATAGCTCTGATAAGACACATATTTCATTTATCCTTAAACAATTGTTATTTACATATTTCTTCCTCTGACTAGTCTTTCCTTATATTTGTTTTTCTATCCCTTTCCGAACCAAGCAAAGTAACCCCCTCAAAAATCCAATGAATAGAACAAGGCAAAAATTACTCCGAAAGTCTGCATGTCAAACAGCAAACTGAATTTTTAGCTGTTCTAGTTTTTGGATTTACCATTGCCTCCCTCTCCCAAAGTCCCCAAAACATCTTTTGAGAGTAAATAAGTAAGATGACTCTCTATTCAGTAACATAAATATCAAATTTTCTCAATTTTCTATCAGTTATTTACCTTCATTTTACTTGGTGTATATATTATATTGTTAGGTTTATAAGGACACTCCAAAAACTTACTATAATAAAGATTCATAAGCCATAAGTTTAGGAACTAAGCCATCATTTCTCTAACCTGACAGCATATTAAGAGCTATTCAATATAGCTTTTATTCTCAACATTATTTTACAATCCATACTTAGCTCTTTTGGAATTCATTTAAATTCTGAACCTAATAAAGGTGGCACTTAGAAAAATCTAAAGGTCTGAAAACAGTTATTTCATTAGGCTAAAATAGCACAAGGTGGTCTGACATGAATTTCATTCAGGACTTTGAATACATTAGCACTCTTAATCTTTCCACCTGCTGTAAGTATGCAAAATAATCTATTTTTTTTAAAAATTAACTTTCTAATCTTGCTACTTTTTAAAAAGATTTTATTTATTTATTTGACAGAGAGATCACAAGTAGGCAGAGAGGCAGGCAGAGAGAGAAAGGGGAAGCAGGCTCCCTGCAGAGCAGAAAGCCGGATGTGGGGCTCAATCACAGGACCCTGAGATCATGACCTGAGCTGAAGGCAGAGGCTTAAGCCACTGGAGCCACCCAGGCGCCCCTAATCTTACTATTTTTTTTTAATTTTATTTTTTATAAACATGTAATATATTTTTATCCCCAGGGGTACAGGTTTGTGAATCGCCAGGTTTATACACTTCACAGCACTCACTATAGCACATACCCTCCCCAATGTCCATAATCCCACCCCCCCTCCCACCCCCCCTCCCCCCATCAACCCTCAGTTTGTTTGTGAGACTAATCTTACTATTTTTAAAAACCAGAACATTTCATAACTCTGAATTCATGTTACTAGCAAATATTTATCCAAAAGGTTTATTTTTCCTTACTCTAATTATTGTCTTATAATAGAGTAACTCTTAACAATAAAAGCTACCAAAGCTTTGCATGTAGTAGTTAAGGGAGTGTTATTCAGAGATACTTGGGCCATGTATGTATTCTCACAATAGAATCCCTTTATACGACAGAAAATAATTCTAATGAAAGAATTTGTTTTATGTTATTTTTTTAGTAATTATAATAATACTTTTTAACATTCATAATAAGAAATATATACAGCAGGGGCGCCTGGGTGGCTCAGTGGTCAAGTGTCTGCCTTCGGCTCAGGTCATGATCCCAGGGTCCTGCTCAGTGGGAAGCCTGCTTCTCCTTCTCCCCCTCCCCCTGTTTGTGTTCCCTCTCTCGCTGTGTCTCTCTCTGTTAAATAATAAAATCTTAAAAAAAAAAAAAAAAGAAATATATACAGTAATCCTTTTATATTATCACATCTAAAATGGCATAATATGTAACGGTCACAATATTTAAAGTATATCTATCTTAGATAAAGAGAAGACACAATTCAAATATTACACATTGAGTTGGATAATTAAATCCTTTTCTTAATGACAAGTCAGCTATAAAACTCCTGAGCTAAAACTAATTCTTTAATCATGGAAAAGTAACTGGCTGCCACTATAGATACATGGTTCTATTGTTCAGTATTGAAATTAAAATTTGCAGATATTTAATTTTACTACCTAGAAACCTTAACATCCTTTACAATTATTTCCAAATATAAAATAGAAATGATTCATTTACCTGTATGAGCAGCTCCAATATAGCCAACAATTCTAATCCCAAGACTCTGTCCATCTTTTTTCATGAGTTCAACATCATATGTTTCAAAAAAAGAACTGTCCTAAAAGGAAAAACAATTGTAAGTTTACATAATATTTAGTTCTATAACTGTGTGTAGTCAATTTGTGTGTGGTTTGTCAAGTATTTTTTTTTAGAACTCGTGGCAGAATCTTAAGATAGTCCCCAGGACTTTTTTTTTTTTTTTTTTTTTTTAGATTTTGTTTATTTGACAGACAGAGATCACAAGTAGGCAGAGAGGCAGACAGAGAGGAAGGGAAGCAGGCTCCCTGCTGAGCAGAGAGCCCGATATGGGGCTCGATCCCAGGACCCTGGAATCATGACCTGAGGCGAAGGCAGAGGCTTTAACCCACTGAGCCACCCAGGCGCCCCATCCCCAGGACTTTTGATTCCGAGTGCTATTCCTGCGTTTATGGTCCAGGATATGGCAAAAGGGAGATTATCCAGGTGCATCTAATCTGATCGGGGGGACTTTCAAAAGCAGAGTTTTCTGGCTGGCAGCAGAGAAAGGAGTGAAAATGAAATATAAAGGCGGGACCTGTGGGTTGAAGATGAGGGGGTCTCGTGAGACCTGGGGGACTGGGGACCTGGAGGAACTGAGAGAGAGCCTTAGCTGAGGAAAGGAAAGAGACTTCAGTCCTACAGCTACAAGGAACAGTATTCAGCCAACAACTCAAATGAGCTTAGAAATGGACTGTCCCCTGCCCAAAAAAAAAGACAGAAATGGACTGTCCCCAGAGCATCCAGATAAGAGTCCAGCCAGCCCTTAATTTTGGCCATACAGGAATCTAAGCAGAGAGCCCACCCAAGCCCACCCAGACTTCCCACCTACACAACTGCAAAATAACAAAGCCTGCTCTTTTAAGCCACGAAGTTTGTGGGGTTTTTGTTTGTTTTTTGTTTTTTTTTTTTGAGAGAGAGACAGAGACAGAGAGAGAGAACGCATGAGACACAGGGCTTGATCCATGACCCTGAAACCATGACCTGAGCCAAAATCAAGAGTCAGATGCTTAACCAACTGAGCCACCCAGGTGCTCCTTGTGATAATTTGTTATACAACAATAGAAAACTAATACAGCCACTTAGAAAAAACTCAGGATAAATTTTTACCTTAAAAAAAAAAAGTAAAGAAAAATTTAGAAACAGATGATAAGAATTACTATGAATAATAATTACTGGGAGCAAAAAATATCAAACTAAAACTTAATTTCATTACTTGCCTTCTAATTTAAAATACTTCTTTAAAAGAATAAAGTGTCTAAAAACAGGATTCCATTCAAAACACTAACATTAGAAAGGAAGTATCTGATTGCATCAAATTCTTTTTTTTTTTTTTTAAGATTTTATTTATTTATTTGACAGACAGAGATCACAAGTAGGCAGAGAGGCAGGCAGAGAGAGAAGGGAGGAAGCCGGCTCCCTGCTGAGCAGAGAGCCCGATGCGGGGGCTCGATCCCAAGACCCTGAGATCATGACCTGAGCCGAAGGCAGAGGCTTTAACCCACTCAGCCACCCAGGCGCCCCTGATTGCATCAAATTCTTACTTATCACACAGTTACATTGGTCCCCACTACTGAACTGAAGACTCTGGAGAGCTAGAGTAATGGAGGGGAAGAAAGTGGCTGTAACCAATTTGGAGAGGGAAGCAAAAATGATGTTAAGACCTCTGACAGAAAATTTCCATTCACAAGGTTCCAAAAAGGGAGACACAAACAACCTTCTAGATGAGCCCCTCGAATCCACATGAACAATGGTCTCCCATCTCTTCCCACCAAAGTCACTTCTCCTTTCTTCTTCCCCCGGCCTCTCCTTTTAAAAACTATTTATTTCCTTTCATTTTATTAACCCTTGATTCAGAGCCTGTGAAATTACTGGAAAGATCTTGGAATGAACCAAAAAGATCTGAATTCAAATCCCAGCTTAGCAACTGACTTCTTTTATTTTTTGAGATCAGCACCTGAGCTGACTGAGATCAAGAGTCAGATGCCTAACTGACTGAACAACCAGGTGCCCCTCTATGACTTTTAAACGAGTAACGTGGACTTGAGTTCCTTTATTTAATATGATCTTATCTTGATGAAAGGATAGGCCTATCTTGCAGAATTCCTATGAGGATTTCAGATGACCTAGACAATTCTAGGTGTTTGATAATACTAATTTTTTTATTTTTGTTTTGATTTTTTTATTTTTCAAAAAATTTTTTGATTTTTTTTATTTTTCAACAATTTTGATTATTGTTATATTATTATGATGATTATTATAATAAATATTCCCCTTGTTCATTGTGTTCATATCTAATTCATACATTGACTAGTACTGAGTTTCCCTCCAACTGTGTCTCCTCACCACTCTCATGAAATAGAAATGGCAAGTATTAGGGTGCCTAGATGGCTTGGTCGGTAGAGCATGCAACTCTCGATCTTGGGGTCATGAGTTGAAGCCCCACATTGGGAGTAGAGCCTACTTTAAAATAAATAAATAAGGGGCGCCTGGGTGGCTCAGTGGGTTAAGCCTCTGTCTTCTGCTCAGGTCATGATCTCAGGGTCCTGGGATCGAGGCCTGCATCGGGCTATCTGCTCGGCGGGGAGCCTGCTTCCTCCTCTCTCTGCCTGCCTCTTTGCCTACTTGTGATCTCTCTCTGTCAAATAAATAAATAAAATCTTTTAAATAAATAAATTTTTTTAAAAGGCTTTCTTTAAAAAAAAAAAGGAATGGCAAATATTATTATTTTCCAATTTACAAATGAGTAGCTGAATTTCAGGGAGTTTGGATGACTTAATGCTGAGAAACAGCAAAAAAACAAAATCAAACTTGTGTGATATCTCTCAACTGGGTTCTCCTCTGCTTCCCTGGTGAGCACTGAGGCACTACTCCCACCCACATGGCACTTTGAGTCGAAGGCACTTCTAATCTTGCAGAGTCTCATACCCAGCGCATAAGGAGAAAGAATGGTTTGTATACTCACAGCACTAGGGCTCTTGTGAGCTGCAGCAGGCAGGGCAACAGGTAAGGCTGCAGGGGTAGGAGGGGTTACGGAAACTGCACCCACAGGCGCTCTTGCAACAAGCATGCGGACTGAGTTTCCACAGTTCCTTAGCACTTGCGCAACTTGCTCGCTGGTCATTCCCTGCACATCTGTGCCACCGATCTTCAAGATGTGGTCCCCTGTCTGGAGTCTTCCATCCTTTAGTTGAAGAACAAAACAAAATTATTCCAAGAAATCAATGATCTAACTTCACTGGCTAATAACCAATTCCTCGGACTTTCAGTTCTGATAGAACGGCTGACAGAGAAGCCATTTATAATATGCTACAAACAATATAACAGTTTTAATGAATGCTGAACTGGCAACAGGGAAAAGGAAATATTTGGGGGGGGGGGGAAAAGATGGGGTGGAGGATGTGTTCAAAAGAAGAAGAGTAACCAGAATTCTAATATGGCCATTGGCTTGAGGGCATCATTTCACGCCTAATGGCCTAGACCCAGGGTATTCAAGACCACAAAGGTAAGGAAGAGATCAGAAAACCCTGGGCCTCAAGAAGGGAAGGAGGTTGGATCCGAGGCCTCTGGCATCAAGCTAGGAACTCTGAAGGCCAACAAACTCAGTGGCTCTTTTAAGGATCAGCAAGATGTCAGTGTGGCTGGAAAGGATGAGCAAAGAGAGTAATCGGGAGGAGATGGGAGCATCAGCTAGAGCTCAGCAGTACAGAGCATTTGCTCTGAGCTGGGGAGAAGGGAAGTCATGAAGCGTTCTGAACAGAGAAGGGACATTATCTGATGTGCTTTTACCAAGATCCCTCAAGCTTCTGTGTTGAAAACAGACTATAGGACGGGAAGCAACAGAAGCAGAGATACCAGTAAGGAGGCTAAACCAACAATCCAGAAAGAAATAGCAATAGCCTTTGGACTGGGTTAGCAGTTGGTGTGCTGAGAAGGAGACTCTAGAGAACACATCTCAGTGACCTCTCAACAGGCTCCAATAACAGCTTCTACACGAGGTGTGATGGGGAAAAACTCCCAAGTTTTTACCCCAAGCAACTGGAGAGACAGAGCTGCTTATTAATTGAGAGAGCACTGCTGAGGAATGGATGGGTGGGAGTAGAAATCAGGAGTCTAGTTTTAGAGATATCCAGTCAGAGATCCCATTAGACATGCAAGTGGAGATGTCAACTATGCAGCTGGATATACAGATCTGGAGTTCAGGAGGGAGGTCCAGACCACATATTTAAATTTAGGAGTCATTAGCATATATAACATATTTGAAGACAGGATTCTGGGAGAATTCAGAGAAAGGATACATCATATTCCATTTCTTAAGTTGGGGATATGTACCTGGTTATTATTATTATTTAAAATGTTTTATTTCTTAAACTAAGTGATACACACAGTGGTGGTTACTGTCATTATTTAAAAATCTGCACAGCCATTACACATACTCTTTTATATGCACTTTTAAAGGTGTATATTTCATACCCAAAAAAATTTTAAAGCAATTTATCAAAAAGTACATCAGGTCAAAATGTTTTAACATTTTCATTCTACATCCATTTGTCAAATTCTTGAAATAGCAGATCCATCTGCGTTTTGTTTCACCAGAAATTTTGAATTCTCTTTACTTACCTTTACTATATTAGAGTTACCAAGATGTAAACATAGCTGGCTACAAAAGATTACACCTGCCTAGAACTCTACAGGTCGAAAATCACTTTTCATATATCATCTCACTTGGAGAGGGACAACTTTAAAATGAGTACATGGGATTCAGAAAGGTTGACTGACCTGACCAAGGTCTCAAAGCTAAGAAGTGAACCAAAGTTCAACCCAATAAAAAACAAAAAATAAAAATAAATTAAAAGTCTTCAATAGGTTAAAGCCTCTGCCTTCAGCTCAGGTCATGATTCCAGGGTCCTGCGATTAAGCCCCACATTGGGGCTCTCTGCTCAGCAGGGAGCCTGCTTCCTTCCTCTCTCTGCCTGCCTCTCTGCCTACTTGTGATCTGTCAAGTAAATAAATAAAATCTTAAAAAAAAAAAAAGACTAAAAAGTCTATTTTCCGTCTTTCCTTTTCTCCAATTTTGCAGGACTCTGAATTAAGGAAGGTACGAGATCCAAATACTGAGTAAAAAGCCATGGGCTTTGTTGTGAAGTCTGCACAAGGCCCTAGAAGCAACTGGAAGAGAAAGAGGAGGAAAACAGAAAATGCAATTCAATTCAGAAACATCTGCAAAGACTCAGAGAAAAGACAGATACAAAGAGGAAGTAAGAATTGGTGGATTTCTACTTTTAAGCACTGGTAATCTGATACTGTATCAATGCAACAACCTGAAATAAAACAAGTAACTACTCAAGAGAAAGTCGAGGATTGGGGCGCCTGGGTGGCTCAGCTGGTTAAGCAGCTGCCTTCGGCTCAGGTCATGATGCCAGGGTCCTGGGATTGAGTCCTGCATCGGGCTTCCTGCTCAGTGGGAAGACTGCTTCTCCCTCTCCCACTCTCCCTGCTTATGTACCCTCTCTTGCTGTGTCTCTGTCAAATAAATAAATAAAATCTTTAAAAAAAAAAAAAAAGAAGAAGAAGAAGAAGAAAGTCAGGGGTCATGATGAAAAACAGGGGCAAAGCTGCCTCTGTAAATCAAACCGTCCTTGGCCTGACCAAAGAATAAAGAATATGTCAAATAAGTGAATTTGGCTTGGCCAAAGAAGGGCCCGTCACCGTAAGTACATAGTCAGTCACTTCCTAGGCACTATTTTTTTCCTATTTTACCTCAATTCAATTTAAAATGCTGTAAATAATTTGCATCTGTCACTGAAAGTCAAACATTTTCTTCTTCCAGAAAAACAGGTGTTCTAAGGAATTCATAAGTACAAACACAATCATTAGTCAGATTGATAGGGAAAACACCAAAATGACAGCTACCTTGTTTAAGTCCAGCAGCCCCAAACACTGCATTTTACTGGTATTTTTTGATCAACATTCTCCTTCCATAACCTGTCTACTGTGCAAGGAATTTAAAAGGCATAGAATTCTTTTTATTCTTAAGGGAAATCATAAATCAATGATAGCCAATAAATAGCTAGGCTAAGATTCAAAGACATAGTGTGCTAATCAAACATTCAAATATAAAGTTTATCAACCCAAAGGTTTTTTTCAAAAGAGAAAAATTATGCATATAGCCTAAGATAGTATGGTAGGCACATAAATTAAAACAGCTGATGTAATAGGGTACACCACATTATACTGAAAAGACTAAAAGTATCATTTAGTCACCTTTAAAAAAAAAAGATAAAATACTTTAATCCAAGTTAGCAGGTACAGGCTAAAAAAATATATTAGTTTGCATTTTAAATTCCCTGATAGGCAGCTGGATGATAATTTCAGATCAAAAAAATATTTGACAGGCACCTGGGTGGCTCAGTGGGTTCAAGCCTCTGCCTTCAGCTCAGGTCATGATCCCAGGGTCCTGGGATCAAGCCCCACATCGGGCTCTCTGCTCAGCAGGGAGCCTGCTCCCCCCCTCTCTGCCTACTTGTGATCTCTGTCAAATAAATAAATAAAATCTTAAAAAAAAAAAAAATTTGAGGGGCACCTAGCTGGCTCAGTGAGCAGAGCCTGAGACTCTTGATGTAACGGTCGTGAGTTCAACCCCATCGGGCATGGAGCCTACTTAAAAAAAAATAACAAAAAAAATTTTTTAAGACATTTTAATAAATAAATAAATAATAAACTATTAGAAAACCTAAAGAAACTTAAGTTTGAGCTACAAAATAAATCAAAGTTGTCTCTTGGAAAACTAAAACACAGAAAATAAAATTATTATTAGTTTTGATTCCAGGCCAATGCTATCATTGGTCTTTAATCAAAAGGCAACAAAACATAGGCAGAAAACAGCAAATTTATAAAATAAACACTCCCTCAAAGAATTAAAGATATTACATCTAAAAACATCTATCCCACCCTCCTCAAATTCCCAAAGCCCTCATCAACTGGTTTTTAAGGATAAGGAAAAGATGTTTATAGACTCACTCAAAGCAAAATTTCTTGGGAATAATCAACTATTCAGTGGCCTCAAGCCGGGCCTTGCTTATTCTAGACTGAAAATTCCTCATAGTACACACGTCCCTCCAGTCTCTGCTTGGTTACATTCCTTCTTAGTATGAAAGACTACTAGATTGTTATCATGACTCATAATATAATTGCCTAATACCAAAAAGTCATTATTCATGACAACTTTTGAATAGACTGCATTGTTATAGCTACCTTACAGGGAAAAAGGGTTCACTCAGTGTACCTGATTCCCCTAGAATTTCTCCAGACCACAAGAAAGATACTTCTGTCAAATGAAGTTTTACACTACCTATTTTTTTTCCTTTTTTTAAAGATTTTATTTAATTTATTTTATTTATTTATTATTTGACAGAGAGAGACACAGGGAGAGGTAACACTAGTGGGGGTAGTGGGAGAGGGAAAAGCAAGCTTCCTGCTGAGTAGGGAGCCCAATGCGGGGCTCTATCCCAGGACCCTGGGATCATGACCTGAGCCGAAGGCAGATGCTTAACGACTGAGCCACACAGGCATCCCTTACACTATCCATTTTCAGTTAAAAACAAAACAAAACAAAAAACTTCTATTGAAAATTTTTGAAATTTTTGCCATAGCTGAACAGAATTCTCAAAAGATGTATGTTTCAGGTACTATGAATTTCGGAGACTGAGCTTACAGGTATATATAGGCTTACAGATTTACAGGTTTTAAGACTGATGATTATATATAACAGGTTATAGATTTAAACTAAAGGGGCACCTGGGTGGCTCAGATGGTTAGGCACCTGCCTTTGGCTCAGTGTCATGATCCCAGGGTCCTGGGGTCGAGTCCCACATTAGGCTCCCTGCTCAGCTCTCTCAATTTCTCTGTCAAATAAATAAAATCTTAAAAAAAAAAAAGACTTAAAAGATAGACTCTAAGTCCTTTAGCTCTCCTCTCATGATACCATGTAATTTTTCTATCCATGGAATTGGCCCTGATTGCATTTACTCATTGGTCATTGTGACTAAATCTCAACAAGTGTTTCTTAAAAAGCTCCTATGAATCAATAGTTTTCAATTTCATTTACTTTATAACATTAAAGGCAGTAGACAGCAGAAAGACAAGTACGGGCTTTGGGGTCAGAAACACCCAAGTTCAAATCCTGGCTCTACTTTGATCAAACTGTTACAATCAAACATCAGTTATTTATTCTCCCTGAATCTCCGATCCCTCTTAAACAAAATGAGAGTAAATCCCTCTCTCACTGATTTGTGAGCATTAAACTCAATACTATTGCAAAGTCTTAAGCCTAATGCTTTGCTTACAGCAAATCATCAAATGTATCCATTTCTGACACCCATTTGGGCTGTAGTGACCTCAGCTAGTTGTTCCTGGGCTCACTCCCTCAACTGTACCCATCTTATAACTATATATATATGTAAGCTGTAAACACAAAAGGAAATATAAAGGGTTATTTCATGAAACTCTTCTAAGTAAGAAATACTGACTTCCTTCTCCAACTTTCTATTATCTCATTTTATATTCTTTGAAGAAAGTAAGATTGATTAACCCCATTAGCTGAACATAGGTATCACTTTATGATCAATCTTGATCACATTTACAGTAATGACTTAAGACATCTATAGTCCCTTACCATAAAGATTGCCACAGTCAACACTGAGCATTAATATTCAAAATATGAGTACATTTTAATTAAAAGCAATAATTCCCTTTCATTCTTTTAAAGCTATGACCAGTTTACATGAGCAACAACTTACAAAGGCTTAGAAACAATGCACAGAGCCAGTTCAAGAGATCTTAAATGCCATTAGCTGAGATGAGAAGAGAGAGGGGATGGCTCCCTCTCCTATGTTTAGGCCTCACTATAGCCGCTTACAGGAAAACGTCAATAATTCTGTTGTTTCTAGAGCTGGCTATTTAGATAAGCTTAGACCAACCCTGGACAAGAATACATCTGGAAAAGAAAAACATTAGGATGAACTTTAGATAAATAGATTTAAGCCACAAAAGACACACTTCAGAGTTAAAGAGATGTGAACTCAATCTTGACTTTGTCATTTCCTAGTTGAGTAGCCTTGGGCAATTTCTTAACAGTTTCCATATCTATAATTTGAAAATAAAATTTATGACTATCTTCAGGATTACATAAGAATAATGTATATTAGGAAGATAACAGTGTCTGGTATAAACATTTGCTTCTGCATCATGACTGATGGGCATGCTCCAACCCCCTCCTTGATGACCTGAAATAGTGACAAGCCCTTCCAGTAAAGGCTGAAAATCAGACCTGGGCCTTTCCCAACAGTGTCTCAAAGGGATTAATTTGGGAAACTGCACATCGTATTCTCCTTGTGACAATTCTTAATGCACATTAGGATATTAAAAGCTCAGAAAATTCTTACAGTAAAAAAAGTCTATTTGATTTTGTTTAACTTGCTGTTTTCTAAATTTATCTGACCCTTTGTTTTTCACAGTAACTACTCCACTTTGCATCTTGAAAAATGCTACTCCAGCAAACAAGCTGATAAAAATTGCTAAGCGGGGGGAGGGGGGGGGATGAGAAAAGATATCAAAATACTCCAGAATACCTCATTCTTTTTCAGGTTACAAAAAATTTCCAAAAACCCTTAAGAATATATTTTCTGCCACAGTTGTGCTTTAAAGATCCATAAAATGACAATTCTCAGCCTTTCTGGTCTCAGAAACACTTCACATTCTTAATTATTGAGGATAGAGAAATGGGCATTACAAAGACGCACAGGAAACTTTCATGGTTGTTAGATATGTTCATTTTCTTCACTGAGGAGACAGATGGTATAAGGGTGAAAGCTTATGTGCTACCTTGGCTAGGCTATGGTACCCAGTTTTTTGGTCAAACACTAATCTAGCTGTTACTGTGAAGGTATTTTGGAGGTATATATGATTAACATCTACAACTGCTTGATTTTAAGAACATGATCCTTGATAACAGGGGTGAGGTGGGAGGGGCTCCATCAAATCAACTGTAGGCTTGAAGAGCAAAAACTGAGATTTCCTTGAGAGAAAGGAATTCTGTCTTAAGACGGTAACAGAAATCCCACCTGAGTTTCCTAAGAAATCTTGCCAACCAGCCCTACAAATTGTGAAGTCCAGACTGCAGTATTAACTCTTGCCTGAGTTTCTACCCTGCTAGCCTGCCCTCTATATTTCAACTTGCCAGTGAACATATGTCAAATTTATTAAACTGTATACTTTACCTACGTGCAGTATATTGTATATCAATTATATCTCAAAAATTACTGAGAATCTCAAAGAGCTTTTGCTTATGTGGTTCTCTCTGTTGTTATCTACTAAATTAGAAAATAGCACAGGGGCCCCTGGGTGGCTCAGATGGTTGGGCATGTGCCTTCAGCTCAGGTCATGATCTCCAGGTCCTGGGATCAAGCCCCACATCAGGTTCCCTGCTCAGCGGGGAGGCTGCTTCTCCATCTCCCTCTGCCTCTCCTCCTGCTTGTGCTCTGTCTCTCTCCCTCTCAAATCAATAAATAAAATCTTAAAGAAAAAAAAAAAGGCAGAGAAATTTTTAAAATATTTAATACATATACTATACTAGTATATATTTCTATTATGTTGATGCATACACTTTTTATTTTGAAAATAAAAGCTATATTTTCTACAACAAAATGGTGAGAAGAGTGGTATTTTAAAATATCTTTGGAAATCCATTCAATAGCTGGCTTAAAAGAAGACAACCAGCTTTGCACATCTGCTTTAGCATTCAGTACACTGTAATATGTTGTTTTGGCTGAAGTATATAAAGAAAATCTGGCCTCAATTAGATACATAGTTGGAAAATGGAGGAGTATTTTAACAGCCCTTCAAGTCTATTCTTCTCTGATAACACACCAAAACTTGACAAGTTGTGGTTTCTTAAAGATCCGTTGCAATGTGGAACCTGCAACTTCATCAACAAACTTTCAAATACTGTCTCATTAACACCTATTGATCAATCTTGAATCCTAAATGGACCTTTTACCTATATATTGTCATACCACACACTGATCTTCAGGAAATATTGATCCACAGACTCAAGCAGATCTTCCAAATATTAACATATTTCATTATATAATATTTTAAAAATCATTACTAATATCAGCAATAATCTAATCAGAAAAGTCTTTAAATATTGGAAAATGTCAAGCTATGATAAAACACAACTTTTCCAGAATTCTAATTTTTGCTTGAAAGTTCAAATTTTATCATCACCCACAAATGCTGTCAGCTGTTTTCCTTGAAATGACAGGCTTGCTTCATTCATTTTCAGAGAAATGTCTGCCAAGCACCCAAGTCTGAATAAACATAATTTTTCTGTCAATTACTCTTTCAAAAATAAAAATGCTATTCCAGATTGGTGGTTGCCAGAAGTTGGGGGCAGGGAGGTAGCAGGTGGGCAAAATGTGTGAAAATGGTCAAAAGGTACAAACTTCCAGTCATAAAATAAATAACTCATTGGGATATAATGTACAGTGTGGTGACTATAGTTAACAATACTGTATTGTATATATGAAAGTTGCTAAGGCAGTAGATCTTAAAAGTTCTCATCACAAGAAAAAAAATGTAACTATGTGTGGTGGTGGATGTTAACCAGACTACTGTGGTGGTCATTTCACAGGATAAAACATCAAATTGTGTTGTACAGCTAAAACTCATATAACATTATATGTCATATCTCAAAAAAACTTTTTTGAATGAAAGCTAAGTATTTTAAAATTTTTTTCATGTTTTCCATATAAAAAAGTGGCTAGTTTGTCTCACAGACATTTTTCTCAAACCAACCGTCATAACTCAGTATGTGGCAGAAGTGCTATACGGTATATGTCCCATTTTGTCACTCAATATTAAAAAGACATGCACTGAAATGTCAAAATTTGCCGGAAGTAATCATTTTTTGCTGCACTTTCTTAAGACTACTCTTTTGTTGCAACCACGTGGTGGAGAAGAACACAATGACCACCAGCATGGTTTGATGCCATTTCCTTGTCTTAATCCCACAGGTCCCCTGCAAGAGTTTCAGGGAGCCCCACAAAGCAAACTCTGAAAGCAGCTTCTCTAAATACAAGTGGAGGCTGAAAACAAAAATATTAGCTCCACAGTTTGTGTAAGATGAAACCTTAAATAGAAATGGGAAGCTGAGGAATTTACCTCAAAGCTGCATTTGCAAGTCCATTTTTCCTTATGCTTATCAGAAGGGATATATTTGTAGGTAACTAAACATCAATGAGTGAAATTTACATAGTACTCTGGTTATCATGGACAATTCAAAAAACTATGGCCTCACTATTAAGTGGCATCATAACTAAATTTCTGGGCGACTTTTCTAAAAACTAAATTCAATGTTTAGCATTTTATTCAATGTAAAACTAAGCAGAAATAGTTCCTAAGTTTTAAAATGGCCTGCTTTTAGGGGCATCTGGATGGCTCATGTGCAGCATTTGACTCTTGATCTCAGGACTGTAAATTCAAGCCCCATGTTAGGCATGGAGCCTGGTTTAAAAAAAAAAAAAAAAAAAAAGGCCCACTTTCAGTTTAAACACTGCTAAATACTGAACTGTAGTCATTTGACTTATAATGCCAGAAAACTGTAATTCAAGTGAAATTTACCACATACAATATTGGGGCAAATGTTTATAATCACTGTACCTTCTAAGTTTAGCATTTACGTGCTTGAAAGATACACTGGGAGAGAACACGGATATTCAAAATACAGTATCTATTAACACCTCTTCAACCAAAAATATTGTCCTCTGATGGAATCAAGAAGACTGTCAACCACAAGCCAAGAAAAAAAAAGTTGACTTAGGAAATGTTTCTAATAAAGCCAAGTGAGTATATGTTAACATTCATGGGAATAAAAAATATTTTTAGCAACACATAAATTCTAATTATGGGATCCTATATCCTAATAATTCATGTTGTGAAATTACATTTCAACCCACACAATTTAAACTGTGTGACACCAAAATGAGAACAAACAAGTCAACTTACTCGATCTGCTAATCCTCCAGGAACAATCGTCCTCACAACCACACCACTTGATTTTCCTCCAACTATTCCAAAACCTAATCCAGAGCCATCATTAATGAGCTCAACATCTTCAATATGCCCCCAATGAACCTACAAATCAATGGCAAATAAAAGCCAACATGTTAGTGAAACAGATACTTAGCTTTCCAATACAATAATTACTAAATTAAAAGATATACCACAGGGGCGCCTGGGTGGCTCAGTGGGTTAAGCCACTGCCTTCGGCTCGGGTCATGATCTCAGGGTCCTGGGATCGAGTCCCACATCGGGCTCTCTGCTCAGCGGGGAGCCTGCTTCCCTCTCTCTCTCTGCCTGCCTCTCTGTCTACTTGTGATCTCTGTCTGTCAAATAAAAAAAAAAACTTTAAAAAAAAAAAAAAAAAAAAAGATATACCACAAACTGAACATGCCTACAAGTAATCAGGGCAACTTTCTAAAGGCTGGGAGATATATAAAGATGATTAGATGGCCCCCACCCTTGAGAATCATATAACCCAGTAGAAAGATAATCTAAAACATAAATAATTAAAATGAGACAAGAATACTGAATCATAAAACATATAGCTCAGAGAGGAAAGAGACTTGCTGCCTCATTCTCCAGTCTGTACCCAATATCTAGCACAACGCCCAGCACACAGGAGGAACAAATAAGTATGTGTTTACCTGAATTGAAAGAGAATCTCAAAATATTATAAAGGCTGGGTGGGGGGTAGAGATAAGAAGTCAAATCCAACGAAGAGTTATGGAAAGCTTTGAGGAAAAAGTCACGTGTTAATTGCACTACAGGGAGAAAAAAATAAAAACACATATCCAAGCAAAAGGGAAATATAAGAGCAAAGCGGGACCAAATAACAGAATGGGTCAAGACATGGTCAAAAGATTGGATTTAGGGGCACCCGGGTGGCTCAGTCATTGGGTGTCTCCTTTAGGCTTAGGTCGTGGTCCCAGGATCCTGGGATCAAGCCCCATGTCGTGTTCCCTGCACAGTGGGAAGCCTGCTTCTCCCTCCCCCACTCCCCTGCTTGTGTTCCCTCTTGCTGGCTCTGTTAAATAAATAAAATCTTAAAAAAAAAAAAAAAAGATTGAATTTACTTAACTGGATAAGCAAAGAAATAACTGAAGGTTTTAAAAAGGAAGGATAGGGATGCCTGGGTGGCTCAGTCAGTTAAGGGTCTGCCTTCAGCTCAGGTCATGATCCCAGGGTCCTGCGATCGAGCCCCTCATCAGGATCTCATCGGGATCCCTGCTCAGCAGTGAGTCTGCTTCTCCCTCTGCCTGTCACTCCCCCTGCTTGTGCTCATGCTCTCTCTCTCTCTCTCTGACAAAATAAATCTTTTAAGGAAAAAAAAAAAAAAGGAAGGAAGGACAGGAACAAAGCAGTGGTTAAGGAAGATTACTGTGGCAGCAATATGAAGGATGAAATGCTGAGGACATGAGGTAAAGAGACTAATTAAGCAGGCTCTTACATGGGAGAGGAAAGGCAGGCCCCACTGAAGACATGAGCAATAGGACTACATGAATCAGACTGAGAGACGTTAAGCCTTTTCCCTCTAACTAGTAGGCTTCCGTCAGGAATGTGCATTAGGGGCACCTGGGTGGCTGAGCTGGTTAAGCATCCAACTCTAGATTTCAGCTCAGGTCATAATCTCAGGATGGTGAGATCAAGCTTCTGGCTCCGTGCCCAGCAGGGACTCTGCTTAAGATTCTCTCTCTCCCCCTCCGGCCCTCCTCCCCGCCCGCTCTCTCTCTCAAATAAATAAATCTTTTTAAAAAAGAAAGAAAGAAAGAAAGAATGAAAAGAAATGTACATTAAATTGGAGAATAAAATTCTCCATCTCAAGCTCAACAGGGTATATTTACCAGTTTTACTATTATACTGAGTTGGAAGGTTAAAATATTATACTAAGTTGCAAGGTTAAAATAACCAGGGATATTAGGATATGTAATAAATCCAGGTCTGAAACAATATCTAGTATCTGGGAAGTAACAAGTTTTGCTAAAATATGCCTGAATTAAGAATCACAGCTAATATTCATAGAGTGTAAATTCTGCACCGGGCACTGTGCTTAACTCTTCACGTGCATTCTCATTTAATCCGCATATGAAACCGTGGCTGCGGTTCTTAGTTTCAAGGAAAAGCAGAAGAAACTGAGCAGCGGAGGAATCAAGGAAACTTCCTGATAGGACACAGCCAGGAAGTGGAAGAACTAGACTTGACCCCACCTTAGCCTGGCACCAGAGCCCCTGTTCTTAACCACTATGCAAAGCACTCTCCCACTTTGTTCATTGTATTTATTATGTAAATTGTGCTGTATAAATTGATTACAACAGGGAAAATGTCTATACGTTAATTTGTGTTGTGACCTTGTACTATACCCAGACGGTCTATTGTTTCTTTCACCCCAATGAATGAAAATTAATCAGCCAGCACTTAGTGTTATAAGAAAATAAGATTTATTAGCTTGCATTCTGAAGATGGAGGCCAAAATCTCTAAAACGTTATAAACCAAGTTGAAAGATTCCCAAAGAGACATATGCTTTTATTCTTTTAAATTGCTCAGTATACACGTTTACATGAAAAGGAAAACTTCTATAATTTTACAGTGTCAACAACCTAGTCATAAACACCCAGTATCATTTACAAAAATAATGTTTTTGAAATAAATAAAATAACTAAATCCTACTGAAGATACTCAACAGTAAATCTCTAATAAAAACTCTCAGCTTAATTAAGGAACTGCCTACATCTCCAAGGAACACAAGACTCTTTCCATCACCAAATAAGTTATGCATAATACAACAATTCACCTTCTACATTAAATAACCTTAAATAAGGAGAACCACAGGACACTGAAAAAACAAAACAGAATCTTCTGTGAAATATCTTGTTTATTATGCTAATGCTGTATTTAGAGATGTGATCATCTTTCCTAAAGTATGACAAGTAAAATAACACTTTCTAAATGTCTTTACATTTCTTAAGATCAGTAGCATTAATTCAAAATTAATGTTATTTTTCCAAATTTGCAACTCACTGTTTCAGGCAGCGTGGGATCAGTTAGGCTGGCAGAGGTTTTTGTGTGGGCCAGCTCCCTGGCCACAACCAGACGCAGAGATCCAGTGGTTTGTTGTAATAATGCAATCGCTTGCTGATGGGAAATGTTCTGATCCAGTGGTGTGTCATTAATAGCCAATATCTGGTCATTTTCCCTTAATCTTTGATCCCTTGATAGAATAAGAAAATTCTGATATAAATGATATAATAGCATCTTTTAAAAAAAAACCTATTATTCAAGCGAAGCTGTTTATTTCTTATGGCACTACTTCACTTAGGACAGTTATTCAAATAATTACATAACAGAGGTCTTCAGAGTGCTTCTCATCAAAGCACTTATTAGCTAATTAACCGATTAAGTAGTGCACCCGTAAATGTGTGCATGTACACATGCCCGTGCATGTATACATACACACAAAACCATTTGGCTACAAAAATAACCAAAAGCAATGTGAGGGGCCCCACAGCTAAGGTTTTGCTAATAAGAACACTGCCCCCGTTAGTGCATAAACCCTATACTTCTGAACCCCTTCCAACCTGACTTCAGCATATACCAACACCAGAGCAACCGTATCCTCAAATTCACTGATAACCGTCTCTCCAGGAGAGTCATCCTGTCTCCATCAGTCTTTGCTTCTCTGACATTTGTCAACTGTCAGGCCAAACTCTCCTTGAAAATCAACAGATGTTACTTCTAAATCTATATTTAAGCCCTTCTCTCTAACCCAGGCCCCAACTGCCCAACTGCTAACCAAAGTAAAAAATAATAATAATAATAACTGGGTTTTTTTTTCAGATTTTATTTATTTATTTGAAAGAGTGAGAGAGAGCATGAAATGGGAGAAAGTCAGAGGGAGAAGCAGACTCCCCACGGAGCTGGGAGCCCGATGTGGGACTCAATGCCGGGACTCCAGGATCATGACCTGAGTTGAAGGCAGTCGCTTAACCAACTGAGCCACCCAGGCACCCCAAAAATAACTGTTTTTAAAAGAAATTAGTAAAACCTTAAGGAAAAAACCCCACTATTATAGTTACTATTTACTGAGCACTTGTTAGGAGCCACAAACTGTGCTAGATGCTTTACAGGCATTATCTCATTTAATCCTCACAACCATCTCTTACTTAGTTAGAGGGGAACCTGGGGGGTCCAGTCAGTTAAGCATCCAACTCTTGATTTCAGCTCAGGTCATGGCCTCAGGGTTCTGAGACGGAGCCCGGCATGTTAAGCCCTGTGTTGGGCTCTGCACTCAGCATGGAGTCTGCTTGCCCCTCCCCCTGCTCCTGCCTACACGCTCTCCCTCTCTCTCTCAAGTAAAATCTTTTTTAAAAAGCACTTATATTTTACAGGCAAGAAATTAAAGCCTGGACGAGTGTAGCATCTCACCTTAGTCAGCAGACTCTGAACCATACTTTTTCACTTTAGGATTTACTCTAGGATTTATGTATTTGACTTCATTATCTCCATCTAAGGCAGATCCTTATCTAATGCCTAAAACCGAACTTTCAAAATTTCTCAAGGTTTATTTTGCTAGGTTCTCTTTATGCTGGTATCACCCAACTTGAATATGTATAATGATTATCTGAGTTTACTGACCAATAAGGAGAGAGCCAAAGGAAAGAGAACAAATTCTTGTCATCAGTTTCATAAATGAACATTATTAACCTTCAAAATACAAAATCCCCCTGAGAAGGGGTTTATCTAATTAATTAATCTAATTCATAAATTCAGGATCATGAAAACTCCATTATATTGCCCCTATCTTTCTTAGGTCACAGCAGATTCAGCAAAACTTTATTATAGATCAGAATTTGGTAACTTTTTTTTTTTTTTAAAGATTTATTTATTTTAGAGACAGAGTGAGAACTGGGGGAAAGACAGAGGGAGAGGGAGATCTCTGGCAGATTCCCTGCTGAGCAGAGGCTGACGCAAGGCTCAATCCCATGACCCTGAGATCCTGACTTGAGCCAAAATCAAGAGGCTGATGCTTAACCGACTGAGCCACCCAGGTGCCTCTGGCAACTTTTTAAAATTATTTTTAAAGACTTTACTTTAAAATTTACTAAGTAGGGGCACCTGGGTGGCTCAGTGGGTTAAAGCCTCTGCCTTCGGCTCAGGTCAAGATCCCAGGACCCGCATCGGGCTCTCTGCTCAGCAGGGAGCCTGCCTCCCCCTCTCTCTCTGCCTACTTGTGATTTCTGTCAAATAAATAAAAAATCTTTAAAATTTACTAAGTAAAATTTACTGAGTAATCTACACCCAACATGGAGCTCAAACTTACAGGCCCCAGATCAAGAGTTGCATGCCCTACGGACTGAGCCAGCCGGGTGCCCCCAGAATTTGGTAACTTCTGAGTTCAAGGACACAGGGTAAACTTGGTTGGTATTCAAAGGCCTGTGCATGTGGTCCCCAAGGACTCCTTCCAACTGGGCTTCCTCCGCACATAAACCCTTTTTCCAACTATTCTGATCTACTCTTTCCCGCTCAAACATGTCTGCCATTTCCCTCTCTTGTGTAGACTGTTTCCTCCATCTCTGATGCCCTTTGATTCTGCTCAGCCAAATCAATCTACATGCTGCGATCAAGCTGAGTGTCAATCTCTCCCCCACCCTCCCCATCACTTACTTCATTATCACGGGGATCTGACCCATTCATTTACCACTCACTGAACATTCATACTAAATACGCCGTCGACAGAGCTAGTTAAATCCTACTAACTTTTAAGTTTTCTGAGGATAGACACTCATGTTTTAGATTCTCTTTTGAAACTAGCAAGTTAGATGTGAAAATATCTATTTTTTAATGTCAAAATCGTTGGTGTCTCTCCTAATAAATCAGGTACCATTAAAAATGCTGCTTAGGGGCGCCTGGGTAGCTCAGTTGGTTAAGCATCTGCCTTCCATTCAGGTCATGATCCCAGGGTCCTGGGATCAGTCCCACATTTGGCTCCTAGCTCAGCAGGGAGCCTGTTTCTCCCTCCCCTCCCCCTACTCATGTGCACATGCGCACGTTCACTCTCTGACAAATAAATAAAATCTTGAAAAAAAAATAAAAATAAAAATGTTGCTTATACATCCTGGGGTACCTGGTGGCTCAGTCAGTTGAGTGTCTGACACTTGATTTCAGCTCAAATCATGATCTCAGGGTCGTAGGATTGAGCCCCACATTGGGCTTGCAATGGGCATGAAGCCTGTTTGGGATTTTCTCTCTCCCTCCTCCTGCCCCCTCATTTGCTCTCGTGCTTTCTCTTTAAAAAAAATAAAAAATAAAAATGTTGCTTATACATCCTTTTTTTAATATTAGGAAAGACTTATTATGTTGAGCTAAGGATAGAGAAATTGTATATGCTCCATGACCTTGTTTTTATAAAAAGAAAACATTCTAAAGTATTTCCTAGTTATCTTAGGGTAGTCAAAGTCCTAGATTTCGCTTATTATATTTCTGTATTTTGTAATTTTCTATTATATGTATGTATTACTTTTATAATTTTGAGGTATATATTTTGTAAATTGAGAATGTTGTTTGTGAACCTTTCCTGAGTCCTACATTTCTTTTTAAATGTAACCACTATGGATGATACTAGAAATTACTTCCTTTTTCCACCTCCAATGTCCTTCTTTCTCTGACTTCTTTACCTAAATTCCTATTCACAGCTTGTTCATTAAGGAAAACTTCTTAATTAATCCCAAATGAATGAGATGTTCTTGACACTTTTCAACCCTGATATAACTCATTTTGTGTAAGTTCTTAATTTACTCACGTTCAAATCTTCTATTTTCTGAAAATCAATCTATTTTAATCTACCTTCCCCCCTTACCCAATAGACTAGCAGGACACTGCATTTCCTTCCAGTTAGTATCTGCTCAGGGAATATAACCTCAACCCCAGATAAACAAATTGTAGAGAAGAGAAATCTCCTGCAAAATATGATTCTGATGCATTCTTAAGTTGAACAGAATTAGTTTTACTGCTACTTTTAAAATTTAACTCCCACATGCTATTTATATATATTGAATTCATATTTTTCATTTAAGGGGAGACAACTTCTTGTCTCTCTATTGCAACTTTCGAAAATAATGGATTCTATTACTCTGAGAGCCAACGGGTCTTAGGTAAGCTCCTAAAATAACACAGTTCTATGTGGAAAGTCCTCAGGAGAAAAGAAGAACTGATCATGAAAACCACTGAACATGATCTAGAAGGTCAAGTATGACCGAACCCACCTGCTTCCAGTTCTTTCTCGTACTCTCTTGCACTAAGCTCCCACAGCAGGTAAGTATCAGCCTCACTCCAAGAATAGGAACTCTGTTCCTTCTCCCCATAAGACTACTGCTTAAGACAGTCTCTTTATTCCTGACACCTTCTGCTCTTTGCAGACTCCACTGTCTCAAGTTTCCCTCTAAGCACTGTTGTCTCTGGGAAGCCACCTGACTGCTTAGCCTTGGCCAAGGCTCTTTACACACTAACATATCAAACTTCTCTTTTGGAAAATGCTCACCTCAATCTGTAACTACAGACTTAGTACAGAATACCTCAGACATAAGGACTGACCACAAAAAGACTGCACAACACTGAAGATACACTAAAAACTACTGAATTGTACACTTTAAAATGCTGACATTTATGGTATGTGAACTGTATACCAATAATAATTTTTAAGTTAAAAAAAAATAGGAAGGAAAGTTGGGCCAATAGAAGTTAAATAGGCTTTTTCTCAAGGGACAGAATAGCCTCAAGTAAACTAAAGGTAAGTGACCCTAAGTCTGGACTCACCTAGGTTGTCTAGGTTTGCCAGAATAGCCCTACTCTATACCTGCTATCTCAGGGTCATTAACAGAATCCCCCTCAGTCCCAAAACCCTCCCAACATGGACAATAAACCATATGGTTATCCTAACAATGTATACCCAATCTCCAGGAACAGAATTTCATAAATACATCTGACCACTGTCAAGATTCCTCAGAACATACTTGAAGAAATGCTGCATGAAATGGCAGAATAAAAGTTACAAAAGTCTCATTTATTCTTCTCCTACCCCCTTAACCCCCCATGTTGCATCTCCACTTCCTCATATCAGGGAGATCATATGATAGTTGTCTTTCTCCGATTGACTTATTTCGCTAAGCATGATACCCTCTAGTTCCATCCACGTCGTCGCAAATGGCAAGAAGAATAAATGAAACGATGCGAGTGGGAGGGAGACAAACCATAAGTGACTCTTAATTTCACAAAACAAACTGAGGGTTGCTGGGGAGAGGGGGGTTGGGAGAAGGGGGTGGGGTTATGGACATTGGGGAAGGTATGTGCTATGGTGAGTGCTGTGAAGTGTGTAAAGCTGGCGATTCACACACCTGTACTCCTGGGGATAAAAATATATTATATGTTTATAAAAAATTTTAAAAAAAAGTTGCAAAAGTCATGGAAACCCATTATTTCTGAATTTTCAGGTGCAGAGCCTAGAACTGATCCCCCATGAATGGAGAATGTGAATTCAAATATCTATTACGGGCTGAGAGGTTTTTTTTAATAATAGAACCACTACTGTTGCTATTATTTTAATAGACAGCAGCCACGTAATGAAGTGTGCCTGTTAAATGAGTAATAAACAAAAGACCTGAAATCAAATAGAGAAAGAATATAAGGCTTGAACATACCCCTTAAAATGCAAAAACAATGGCTCAGTGCAATAGGGGGCAATCACACAGATTTGAGGAGGCTTTTAACTGACAAGAGAAATAATGAACAGTGTGATATGAGCACCAAAATAGTTGTTATAATTTTAAGTTTAATAAACCACACAGTATGCAGAATGTGAATTTCAGTATTTCCATGTTATTGATCAGACGTAGCTAAGATACCACGTCTGACTGTGGGAGAGTATGGCAGAACAGAAATCACACTAGCTTGGCCGTCAGACTGTCCTGGAATCTTATCACGGCTCACAGTTCCACCATCAGTAGCTCTGTGACTACAGGAAAAGCACTGGACCTCTCTGAACTTAGCCTTCTCACCTTCGGAACAGGGTAACGGCACTACTAGCTAGATGGCCGCCACAAGTACATGTGGGAATATCTGCTCAAGGCCTGACAAATGCACGTGGAAAGGGAACATGTTAGCTGCTACGGTTAACTGCTTTTATTACTAGTTTCTTACTCGCTTCAGAATAGTGTTTTCAGAACTGTCAAAGAAAAGATTAGCAAAATGCAAAAGGAAACATCCCCCTCACCTGTCTACTACACTCCCCGGCTGTACTTCCTTCACAAAGATATCAACTTGTCCCAGACTGTGAGTTCTCAGGGCCACCACACTGAATCCAAGGCCTCCAGATGAAGGCCGTTCTATATCGATATATTCAATTTGCCGGCCCTAAAGAAGGGGGATTAAAAAAAAGTCAATGAAGCAGATCTACCCAACCGTACCCTTTCCAAAGAACTGAAATTGCTATTTTTGTGAGCAACACAAAAAACAGCTTCTCCTAAGTCATCTCTGTCCAAAAAAACTTAGCATTTCAGCAATAAATTATTTCTGGAAATCCTCTCACTTGATTATTTTCAGTAGGACGTAAGAGGGAGTGTGCAGTGTTCTGCAATCTCAGGGAATCAGAGAGGAATTTTCACACTTCATTCACATTATGAGATGAAGCCCAAACTTGGTGAAAACTCCTGAGAAAAACAACTTTTTCCAAAGTAGGTTCTAAATTACTTTTACACTGCATTTCTCTAAATTCTCCTCATGCAAAAAACATTTTTAAATGAAGAAAGCAAAATAGATATCAAAAATACGCTAGTGTTCAGCCCAAGTTAGAACCAGCTGCATTTGTTAGGATCCTGTTTTTAATTTTATTGTGATGAATTAATATTCCATTTTATTAGGTTTACGGAAAGGCCCCCATTCAAATGGGCTGTATGTGTAAGGAACAAATACTTGATTGCTTTAAAATAACTGCATTTATGACATGAGAACTTCATAAATGTAATCACATAACAAAAGCATCACATAAAAATAATTAGTAGTCAAATTAAGAGGATAGACTTATAAAGTCAAAAAAGGAATTAGTATAGATTATTTAAATATTATACCTTAAACATATTCTTTTTGATCTTAAAACTCGACTTTCATTTTTTTTTTTTTTTTTTTTTTTTTTAAAGATTTTATTTATTTATTTGACAGACGGAAATCACAGAGAAGCAGGCAGAGAGAGAGGGGGAAGCAGGCTCCCTGCCGAGCAGAGAGCCCGATGCGGGGCTCGATCCCAGGACTCTGGGATCACGACCTGAGCCGAAGGCAGAGGCTTTAACCCACTGAGCCACCCAGGCGCCCCTCGACTTTCATTTTTTAAAGACACCTATTAGAAGATGAGTTGAGCAAACACAAAACTAACACATCCAAAAATTCAACTATTTAATTTTTAATAGGTATTAGGGATAAAACTAGATTACTCTCTCAAATGTTTCCTGAGATTTCCCAAATTATGTTAACTCTAACTCCCATTAATTCTGTTTTGATAAAAAATTAAGAACAGTTTCAAAGGAAATTCTATCACTTCTTACAGACATTAATTTTCCTGTGATCAAAATCATAATCTTTCTTTTCAAGTCCAGATATGTGTCAAATTGGAGTAATTATCTAAAAACTCCTTACCACATACAGATATTTTCCTTGAGTAATTTTAAGCCAATAAATTTCTGTTTAGTATCAATCTCTCCTAACAAAATAAAAATGTGAGCAAACCACACAGAGTAGCACATTTTAAGGCAAAAATATTCTTCTTTTTAAAGAGGAAGTATTGTTTTCTTTTTTAACCTATAACAGGAGAAATACAGCTAAATAGTCCCATGACAAGATATAACTTTACCTGAGCCATCTGTTGAATGACTGAGTTAAAGTCTTCATTTGCCGACTTAGGAGTCCAAGGAAATAACCCAGAGACAGTTGAGTTATTAGAGGGTCTTTGGGCATTCCCATTAGGAATGGCACCATCTGTAAACACTAATAAACCTTTCCTAGAAAAATCAAAGTTGGCTGAACAATCTGAGGGTATGTGGCTGAGCTGTTGAAGAGAAAAACAAAAGAGAATCATTAGCAGAAACCTATAGAAAAGAACTTATTTCTACTTATTATTCTGTTTTACACATTACATGTATAATTTGCAAATTAAATATTTAGACATGAGAAAAATAAGACACAGATATGTGAATCTATGTGTTTGTTAGGCTACAAATCGTTTCGTTTAGTATTACACAGAATATTTAATAGGTAAAATGTACTGCTTCCTGGGGCTCAGTCCATGGAGTATCTGACTTTTGGTTTTGGCTAAGGTCAAAATCTCAAAGTTGTGAGATCACAGAGTCTGCTTGAGACTCTCTCCCTCTCCTTTCCTTCTCCCTCTGACCTCTCCCAGCTAATGTGCTCTCTCTCTAAAATAAATAAATTTTGGGGTGCCTGGGTGGCTCAGTGTTAAGTGTCTGCCTTCGGCTCAGGTCATGATCCCAGGGTCCTGGGATTGAGCCCTGCCTATTTAAATAAGTACAACTTATATTCCAAAACCAAACACAACATTTATCATAAACAGTTTAAGTAGGCTATATGCCCAATGTGGGGCTTGAACTCAAGACCCTAACATAAACGGTCACATGCTCTACAGAGTGGGCCAGCCAGGAAACCCCCATAAATATTCCTAAACTATCCACGCCAGTGCTACCTACAGTTCACAAATCCCAGTACAGTCTTCTTGTTGAATTAAGTGCACTTAGAGAGAATTTGTCAGTCTCTGTCTCCTTCCATGTCTCTTTGCTGGTTTGAATATACCAACATGTAAAACCCTGATGAGTAACTTACTTGCCCTTTCAGTTGCCTGATGGACTGCTGAAGTGTGAGTATCTGATTGAAGAGAGGGCTCTTTAGTGTCTCATAAAACAGAGAGAGCTTCTCATTTTGTGATGTATCTCCCTTCTCCTGCAGTTTCATTTTTAGGCGATCAAGAACTTGTAGGACCTGCAGTTTATCTTGTTTGAACAAGGATAATCAGAGCACAAGTTAATCCCACTGTACCTTCCATTTCTGAATCAGTAATAAATTTACTAATAGAAGTACATATCTAGTATACCTGGAGCGGGATTTTCAGGCATTTTGAATGATTGTCTTCAATCCCTTTTAAAGAAACCTAAAGAAAAATTTTAAAACACAAAAGATGACTTCCATTAGTGTATACTCATCTATAGTTCTGTAAAAAAAATATAGAAAATCTCAAGAACATGCTTCATCAAAAGGCTTCACTCAAATTCAAATTAAAACTAGAGTAACCCATTAGGTTGCCTCAAACTAGAAAGATAAACATACAATTCGCTGAGTGTTGACAAAAACATGAAGCAACTGGAACTCTCGACATCACTAGCAGAAACACAAAATGGCACATGCGCTTTAAAAAGTTGTCTGGGGGGTGCCTGGGTGGCTCAGTGGGTTAAAGCCTCTGCCTTCGGCTCAGGTCATGATCCCAGGGTCCTGGGATCGAGCCCCGCATCTGGCTCTCTGCTCAGCAGGGAGCCTACTTCCCTTCCTCTCTCTGCCTGCCTCTCTGCCTATCTGTGATCTCTGTCAAATAAATAAATAAAATCTTTAAAAAAAAGTTGTCTGGTAGTTTTTTACAGAGTTAAAAATACACTTACCGTATGACTCAGCACTTCCACTCCTAAATCCTTACAAAGAAAAGTGAAAATACAAACTCACAAAAGACCTATACATGAATATTGGTAGCATTTTTATTTATAGAATGTAAACAGAATTCTCGGGAATGAAAGCGAAAAACAACTACAAATATACACAACATGGATCGATCTCAAAAAATACTATATTGAGGGAAAGAAACTAAATAAAAAACGGTTACAGACTGTATGATTCCATCCACATGAAGTTCAATCTATAATTATAGATTAGTTTACCTCGGCAGGGTAGAAAGGAGCTGACTGGGAAAGGATTTGAAGGAGTTTTTTGGGGTGATGGAAATGTTCTAAGTTTCAAGTGGGGTACTTTTTGTTTACACAGACGTACACATTTGTCCAAATTCATCGACTTACATATTTTAAATCAGTACTTTTTGTACACAAATTACAAATTATACTTAAAGTTGATTTTGTAAAAAAAAAAAAAAAAAAAGGAAAAGAACATCTACATTAAGAGGTGAAGAAAATTTTAGAGAGATTAGGGGGAAAAAAAAACCCTAAGCAGCACAGACAGTCCCAGATTCCTGCTAGTCATCTGAGTCTCCAAAAGGTAATCACCCAACATATTGGCATTATCCCGTATTTTTAATTCCAGTGATTTGTTCAAACTAACCTAAAATGTAATGTGATCACAACTCAAAATTCCAGTAAACCCTCTGCAAGGACCAAACCAGCACTTTCGCAGTGGTCATTTATACTAATGGTACACCAGGTTGTAGTGAACCATCAAAGAAACAGGAGTACTATACAGTGAAAATTCTCTTACATCAACTCTGCATACAGTTGCTGAATGAGGTCTTCATCTTCTAGTTCAAGGTCACTAAGTAGGAAAGGGTATTAAAACCCAGTAAGGGATGCCATCTGCATTGATAAAAGGTCCATGTATTCCATCCAAATGTTCACTGAACTGCTGAATAGACAGAACCGCTACTGATGAGCTCAGCGTCTCAACTGTGCAAACTTTACCACTACCCATTGACAGGTAACAGTAACAAAAGACCGTTACAATGGCACTATCCTTTTCTATAGTAGCCTAAGGTCAGAGAGGATAGACAAGAGCAGCTCTGTCTGTGGTCATTAATAGATCAACCTCTCTGAAAGAAAGAATGCAAGCTAAAACTAGGAGATGCAATTTTTTTACTCTCAGACTGGCAATTTTTTAAAATTAATAATAGCATGTATTCTAGAGGTCAAGAAAAAACAAGTGGGAATATAAATTTGCACAATCTTTTAGGAAGCAACTTTAGCAATAGCTATCGATACATTAAATTTGCATTCTCTTTTACCCAGAAGAGCTACTTCTAAGGGTCTCCCTAAAAGAAATACAATACAAATACAGATGTATTGTACAAGGATATTTACTTCATGGTTATGAACAAAACTCCAGGAAAAATTAATCTAGCAAAAGCAATCAGGCATTCTAATAAAGTAGGTCTGAATCCACTGAAATGAGAAGGGGAGGGAATCAGTTAACAATAAGCCTGTGGCTCTCTCCTTCAGGGAAGGATTCCCAGCTTGATAACCAGAACCCCTAGCAAACACCCTAAAGGTTTTTGATAGATAATAGCCCCTCATTTTTAAATGTCAGAAAATGTCTTAATTGCTTTTTGTAAATAATCTGAAAATGGATGGATTTATGGGTCATGGCTAGAAGATACATAGACATTTTCTATTTGTGTAACTAATGGAGTATAAAACTCAGGACTCCCCAAACACAAAAGGTTTCCTTTGAGAAAAACATTTCTATATATATTGTTGAGAACCTATCTAGTAACCCAAAACAAAAATGTGTACTAAGGTTGAATTTTACTCCTGTAAGCAAATTAAAAATTGTGGTTAAAGTCTGTCAGAAATATATTTATAAATGATTTAATGTCAACCTACACGTAACTAGGTATTTTAAGTGTGTCGATAATGTCCTAAGAAGAAAAGTGCCATTTTTCGGGTGGATACTCCTCTAGCAAGGAATGTCTGTCCCAACCTCCTGCCTGTAACCACTGAATCATGAGTATGGTTTGGTGCTCATTCGGTGAGGTTTGATCTCATTCACATGAGAATGCTTTGACAATTCAATCCTCTATGTTAACACAAGGACATTATCTAACAGGCACAACTGAATAGGGAAAAGAGCAAGTTTCAGGGTATGTGCATTATTTGCTTTTTATAAGAAAAAAATATGTGTAGGTTTCTAGATTGAGAAAGATAATTTCACAGTAATTAACTTCTGGAAAGTAGGGCGCCTGAGTGGCTCAGTTGTTTAAGCGACTGCCTTCGGCTCAGGTCATGATCCTGGGGTCCTGGGATCGAGTCTCGAATTGGGCTCCCTGCTCAGTGGGGAGTCTGCTTCTCCCTCTGACTCTACCCCCTCTCGTGCACTCTCTCTCTCTTTAAAATAAATAAATAAAATTTTAATGAAAAAAAAATTCTAGAAAGTAGAAATGGGGATAGGAGATTTAAAAAATTAACTTTACAGATTTTAGTGCTGCTTGAATTTTAAAAGCATGTCTTATTTTGTAACTTAAAAACTAAAAAAGGCAAAAAGATAATGGCTGAGAGGTCTAATGAGAGAGCAAGCAGATACAAAGATAATGACAACACAATAGGATAATTATATTCTAAGGCATAACCATCAATTGCAGTGGTGTGGGCCATGGGCTAAGTGAAATCACAAAGGGAGACGGACTAAATCTGCGTGGGGATGTTTGGAACACTGGCAAGAGAACACCTCAGAAACTTCTCTCACAAAAGAGAAAGAATGTGGTGTAAAAGGAGTGGTCATTTGCCTTCATTTGCCTACAACAACCTCAGATTACCCAGCATCATTATGGATGCTGTTCCATTTCACTCCCAAAACTGCTGCAGTTATGAATGGATAGAAAAGAAGTGGCATATATATATAACAGGTATTATTCAGCCATAAAAAAAGAATGAGACCTTGCCATCTGTGACAACATGGATGGACCTACAGGGTATCATGCTAAGTGAAACAAAACAGAGACAAATACCATATGATTTCACTCGTTTGTGGAATCTAAAAAAACAAAACAATGAGTAATCCAAAAAAAAAAAATCTCTTAAATACAGAGAACTGATGATTGCTAGAAAGGAGGTGGGTAGAGGGATGGTTGAAACAGATAAAGCTGATTAACAGGTACAAACCTCCAGTTATAAAATTTTTTTTAAATTTTTTTTAAATTTTTTAATTATTTTTATTAACATAGAATGTATTATTTGCCCCAGGGGTACAGGTTTGTGAATCATCAGGCTTACACACTTCACAGCACTCACCATAGCACATACCCTCCCCAATGTCCATAACCCAACCACCCTCTCCACAACCCCCTCCCCTCAGCAACCTCAGTTTGTTTTGTGAGATTAAGAGTCTTTAATGGTTTGTCTTCAAAATGTAAAAAAAAATTTTAAGTGTCACAGTTTGAATGACATGTAGGGCTACCCTGGGTAAGTGGTTCTCAAATTTTAGCATGCATCAGAATTACCAGGAAGGCTTGTGCAAACACAAGTTGCCAGGGCCCACCACCCCCCCAAGTTTTTTGTTTGTTTTTGTTTTTTATTTGACAAGAGATCACAAGCAGGCAGAGAAACAGGCAGAGAGAAAGGGAAGCAAGCTCCCTGCTGAGCAGAGAGCCCAATACGATAAGGGGCTCAAACCCAGGACCCTGAGACCATGACCTGAGCAGAAGGCAGAGGCCCTAACCCACTGACCCACCCAGGCGCCGCCCACCCCACCCACCATCCCCCGCCGGAGTTTTTGATTCTGCAGGTTTGAGGTGAACCAGAGAATCTGCATTTCTAACAAGTTCCCATGTGATCCTGACACTGCTAGCCCAGAGACCACATTCTGAGAACTACTATATACAGGTGTAAAAGCTCATGAATTTCTATGAGACTATTAATTAGCTTTAAATGACCTAGGTATCTGAAAATAGGACAAAAAAAAAAAAAAAATCCAGTGCTGTTTTTGTGTTTGTGTGTGGATTTTTCGTTTTTGTTTTGTTTGTTTGTTTTTCTGCAAGTGTAGACTGCAAATTGATGCTTGGCTCACAAAGAGTTAAGTCCCAAAATTGGGAATAAGCATTTAGAAACCACATAATGTGGCAGAGTAATGTTGATCTATCCAATTTAGTAATAAAACCTTGACTTACTTTTTATTTCTTTTTTTAATTTCATTTTTCTAACAATTCCTTTTCCTGATAACTGATTACAAAATACTGATTACAAAAATATCAGTCCTTGGAAGACTGTGGGTGCAGGGGAACCCTGATCTCTTAGACAGCTTAAGAAGCACAGACTTAAATAGACTTTGAGAGGGTCCTTGTAAATAATGGGAAGTAGACTGGTCTTTATCCTGTAAGCAACAGGAAGTAATTAAAGGCTTTTAAGTTGGGAGGTACTGAGTCCAGATTTCTATTTAAAAAGGTAATTC